TTTGATGTCGGTCTCCTTGAGGTCCCGCACCTTCTTCACGGCCACCTCCTCGCCGTGGAAGCGGCCCAGGAACACGGCGCCCTGCGCCCCGCTGCCCACCCACTGCAGGTCCAGGATCTCCTCGAAGGGCACCTCCCAGGGGTCTGCGGGCACGCGTGGGCATGGGCCCCCCCTTCACCCCCTCTTTTCTCCTCGCACCCTCCTTGGTGCCTCCTCACCCCCCCGGACCCCGCTTTGGACCTGCTCTGAAGCTCCTTTACCCCTTCACCCCCTTCACCCCTTCCCCCCATTCTTTACCCTTTCCCTCCTTCCCCCCATTCTCCCCATGCCCCCCATTCCCCCCGTTCCCCCCATTCCCCCCGTTCCCCCCGTTCCCCCCGTGCCCCCCGTGCCCTCCATGCTCCCTGCACCCCCCGTGGTCCCCATGCCCCTGTTCCCCTCGTGCTCCCCGTTCCCCCCAAACCCCCCATTCCCCCTGTGCCCCTCATTCCTCCTGTTCTCCCCATGCCCCCCATTCCTCCTATTCCCCCTGTGCCCCCCATTCCCCCTGTTCCTCCCGTTCCCCCCGTGCCCCCTGCGCCCCCCAAGCTCCCCATTCTCCTCTTTCCCCCATGCACCCCATTCTCCCTGTGGACCCCATTCCCCCCGTTCCCCCTGTGCCCCCCATGCCCCCCGTGCCCCCCATTCCCCCCGCGCCCCCTGCACCCCCTGTGCCCCCATTCTCCCTGTGCCCCCCATTCCCCCATGCCCCCCGCACCCCCCGTTCCCCCCGTGCCCCCCATGCCCCCCATGCCCCCCGTACCCCCATGCCCCCCATTCCCCCCATGCCCCCCGTGCCCCCTATTCCCCCCGTTCCCCCCATTCCCCGCGCCCCTCACCCTCGGGGGGGTGCTTGTGCTCGGCCGCGTAGGCTTTGCCGATCATGGTCCACACGGGCTTGAGGCAGCCGAAGAGCCCCTCCAGGAAGCCGCCCCCGGCCTGGCAGCGCAGGTGGGCGCCATCGGCCGCCAGCGGCCCCGCGGCCTCGGGGCCGAGCTCGGGGCCCCGGGGGCCGGCGCGGCGGGGCCAGGCCTCGGGGGGCGCGGGGGGCGCGGGCAGCACGTCCCGCAGCACGCACTGCGTGGGGGTCAGCTCCTGCTCGGGGGTCCCGTCCGACGGCAGCGCCAGCGACGGAGACGGCGTGCGGGTCTCGTGCAGGCAGGCCATGGCCGGGCCTGAGGCAGGGGCAGGGGCAGGGGGGTCAGGGGGCAGGGGGCAGGGGTCAGGGCAGGGGTCAGCGGGGTCAGGGGTCAGGGGCACCCTGGAATGGGGGTCAGGGGTCAGCGGGGTCAGGGGCACCCCGAAATGGGGGTGAGGGGTCAGTGGGGTCAGGGACACCCCGGAACGGGGGTGAGGGGTCAGTGGGGTCAGGGACACCCTGGAATGGGGGTGAGGGGTCAGCGGGGTCAGGGGCACCCCGGAACAGGGGTGAGGGGTCTACGGGGACAGGGACACCCAGGAATTGGGGCAAATGGTCAGTGGGGCCATGGACACCCCAAACTGAGGGCGAGCAATAAGCGGGGCCATGGACAACCCAGCATTGGGGGTGAGTGGTCAGCGGGGCCATGGACACCCCAGAATTGGGGTTGAGTGGTCAGCGGGACCACAGACACCCCAGAATTGGGGTTGAGCGGTCAGGGGGACCACAGACACCCCAAAATTGGGGTTGAGTGGTCAGCGGGGCCACGGACACCCCGGAATTGGGGTTGCCCCCCCTCCCGTGCCCACGGGACCCCCAGACTCGCGTGTGACCCCGTTGCAGACGTGCCCGGCCCGGGTCACCGCGGCTCGGGGTAAACTGAGGCACGGGGGTCCCCCCGGGCCGGGGGCCGGTTGCCATGGCAACAGCGCGCCCGGCGGTGATGATGTCATCACTAAAATTGGGGGGGGAGGGGGGGGGAGGGGCTGCGCTCACCCCGAGGGACCCGCGGGGGGGAGGGGGGGGCGCGCCCGCCCCTCCCGGTGTCGCGAGTGTCCCCCCGCGGCGACATCGCGTCACGCGGTGACGTCATCCCGGTAACGGACGGAGCCTCCCCCTCCCCCCCCCCGGGGAAACTGAGGCAGGAGCGGGGGGGACGCGGCCGGGGGGGGGGGAGGGGAGGTGGGGCGTCAGTCGCGACAGGCGACAGCGGCGGGCCCGTGTCGCGACAGCGCAGTGCGGGAGGAGCGGAGCGGGGCCGACACAGCGCCCCCCGCCGGCGCGTCCTGTCGGGACACGGAGCCCTGTCGCGACATGGGGGGGGGGGTGCGGGGGACGTGGAGGGGGGCGCGGGGGGGTGCGCGCCCACGGGTGGGGGGGTGACACGCGGGCACGCGCAGGGACACGCGCAGGGACACGCGGGCACGCGCAGGGACACGCGCAGGGACACGCGCAGGGACACGCGCAGAGACACGCGCAGGGACACGCGCGTACGGGGTCACGAGCGCGTGCACGGCCGGGGGGGGAGGGGGGGGTCACGCGCGTGCACGAGGCCGCGCGCGTCCCCTCCCCCCCCTCCATCCCCCCCCCCATCCCCCCGGTCCCCCCCGCGGCCGAGGGGGGAGGGGAGGGCGCGGCCCCCCCGGGCCCGGGGGGGGGATCCCGGTGATGGGGGGGGGGCCATGAGCCCCCCCGGCCCCGCCGCCCCCTCCCCCATCCCGGCGCATCCCCGGTCCTGCCCCCTCCCCCCCCCATCCCGGCGCATCCCCCCCCCCGAGCCGGTGCCGGTACCTGGGGGGGCTCCGCGCCGCCCGCCGGGGATGCCGCTGGTGCCGGGGGGGTCCCGGGGGGTCCCGGTGCCGGGGGGGTCCCGGCGGTGCCGGTGCTGGCGGGGCTGGGCCCGGCGGGCGGGGCCGGTACCGGGGCCGGGGCCGCGGTCGGGGCGAGCGGCGAGAACGGCCCCGCCCGACGGGAACGGCCCCGCCCCGGCCCCGCCCCGCGCACCGGAGAGACCGGCACGGGCACCGGGAGCCCCCCCGGCAGCGCCCCGGGACCCCGATGCTGCACCGCGACACCCCCGATTCCGCACCGGAACCCCGGTACCGCTCCGGGAACCGCCGCACCGGAGAGACCGGAGAGACCGGCACCGGGACCGCGATACCGCACCGGGGAGACCGGGACCGAGATACCGCACCGGGAGAGACCGGGACCCAAATACCGCACCGGAGAGACCGGGACCGGGACCGAGATACCGCACCGGAGAGACCGGGACCCAAATACCGCACCGGAGAGACCGGGACCGAGATACCGCACCGGAGAGTCCGGCACCGGGACCGCGATACCGCACCGGGAGAGACCGGGAACGGGACCGCGATACCGCACCGGAGAGACCGGGACCGCGATACCGCACCGGAGAGACCGGGACCCAAATACCGCACCGGGAGAGACCGGCACCGGGACCCCCCGATACCGCACCGGGACCCCAACACTGCACCGGGACCCCCACCGGCTCCGGTTCGGCCTCTGCGACAGCGGGACCCCGATACGGCACCGGGAGAGACGGGCGCAGGCACCGGGAGCGCCGTGGTGCCGCACCGGGACCCCGGAACTGCACCGGGACCGCCCCCCGGTACCGGAGAGGGCGGCACGGGCACCGGGACCGCTCTGACACCGGAACCGGCACCGGGACTCCAGCACCGGCCCCACCGGTGCCCCCGTCGGCACCGGAACCGGCACTGGAACCGGCACCGGAACCGGCACCGGAACCGGCACCGGAACCGGCACTGGAACCGGCACCGGAACCGGCACCGGAACCGGCACCGGCAGCACGCGGGCCACCAGTGCCATCCCAGTGCTCCCAGTACGGGTGTCCCTTAATTCCCAGTGCTCCCAGTGTCGTCCCAGTGCTCCCAGTACGGGTGTTGCAGTGATCCCAGTGCTCCCAGTGCCATCCCAGTGCTCCCAGTACGGGTGTCCCTTAATTCCCAGTGCTCCCAGTGGCATCCCAGTGCTCCCAGCGCTGGTGTTCCTTAATTCCCAGTGCTCCCAGTACAGGTATCCCTTAATTCCCAGTGCTCCCAGTGCCATCTCAGTGCTCCCAGTGGCATCCCAGTGCTCCCAGTGCCGGTGTCCGTTAATTCCCAGTGTTCCCAATACAGGTATCCCTTAATTCCCAGTGCTCCCAGTATGGGCGTCCCATTGATCCCAGTGCTCCCAGTGGCATCCCAGTGCTCCCAGTGCCGGTGTCCCTTAATTCCCAGTGCTCCCAGTACGGGCGTCCCACTGATCCCAGTGCTCCCAGTCTTATTCCAGCGTTCCCAGTACGGGTGTCCCTCCGCCCCCAGTGCTCCCGCTGTGACTCCAGCGCTGCCACTGACCAGTGCCACCTCTGCCCCACTGTCCCCATTGTCCCCTCTGTCCCCACTGACCAGTGGCACCTCTGCCCCACTGACTGCACTGTCTGCATTGTCCCCACTGTCCCCACTGTCCCCACTGTCCCCATTGTCCCCAATGTCCCCACTGTCCCCATTGTCCCCACCGTCCCCATTGTCCCCTCTGTCCCCAGTGTCCCCACTGTCCCCAGTGTCCCCACTGTCCCCATTGTCCCCAATGTCCCCACTGTCCCCATTGTCCCCACCGTCCCCATTGTCCCCTCTGTCCCCAGTGTCCCCACTGTCCCCAGTGTCCCCACTGTCCCCATTGTCCCCAGTGTCCCCACTGTCCCCATTGTCCCCACTGTCCCCATTGTCCCCTCTGTCCCCAGTGTCCCCACTGTCCCCAGTGTCCCCACTGTCCCCATTGTCCCCACTGTCCCCTCAGGGGAAACTGAGGCAGGACCCCCTGCCCGCCCCTCAGGCACCACGTGACCCCCTTCCCGCCTCCTCCGCGCTCCCGCCCTCCCCTTGGCGCGGGGGGTCATGGGAAGTGTAGTCCGCCGCGGGGGCTGCCGGCGGCCGCGTGCGCTGCAGGCCGCGCGGGGCGGAACTACAGCTCCCAGCGGCCCCCGCGCGGCGCGGCGCGGCCGTGCTGCCGCGCGCCCCCTGGCGGCGCGGGCGGCGGCCGGAGCGGCGGGGATGAGCGAGGAGGGGGCGGGCGGGGCCCGGCGGAGCGGCGGCGCCTTCCCCAGGTACCGGCACCCCGCCGCCCCCGGGGCTGCCCGGGGCTGCCCGGGGCTGCTCGGGGCTCCCCGGGGCTCCCCGGGGCTCCCGGCACGGCCGCAGCCCGGCGGCGGCGGGCGGGGGAGGGGCGGCCTAGGCCGGGCCGGGCGCGGGGCGGGCCCGGGAGGCCCGTGAGGGGCGGGGGGAGGGGCAGAGCGCCGGTCCCGGGCCGCTCGTGTGGGCACGGGGCGGTGCCATCCCTGGCCCGTGTCCCCGGGGTGCCGCTCGTGTGGGCACGGGGCGGTGCCATCGCTGTGCCCGTGTCCCTCTCATGTGTGGCAGTGCCATCCCCATGTCCGTGTTCCTGTTATGTGTGGCAGTGCCATCCCTATCCCCGTGTCCCTGTCATGTGTGGCAGTGCCATCCCTGTCTGCCATCCCTGTGCCCGTGTCCCTGTCATGTGTGGCGGTGCCATTCCTGTCCCCGTGTCCCTGTCATGTGTGGCAGTGCCACCCCATCCCCGTGTCCCTGCAGTGCCATGTCCCCTGACCCGGGGTCAGTGACAGCTGTGTCCCCACACTCCTGTGCCCCAGTTGGGTGCCAGCCCTGTCCGTGTCCGTGTCCCTGTCCCTGTCGCTGTCCCTGTCCCTGTCCCTGTCCCTGTCCCTGTCCCTGTCCCCGTCCCTGTCCCATCCTGTCCCCATCCCTGTCCCCAATGTCCCTATCCCCGTCCCCGTCCCGGTGCCAGCCGTGTCCCCGGTGCCAGCCTGGAGCAGATGGTGGCCGCCAGCCCCGGGAAGACGCCCATCAGCCTGCTGCAGGAGTATGGCACGCGCCTAGGACGGACCCCCGGCTACGACCTGCTCAAGGCCGAGGGCCAGGCCCACCAGCCCAACTTCACCTTCCGCGTCACCCTCGGGGACATCAGCTGCACTGGTGGGACCCCAGAACTGCCCGGGGCACCCTGGGGAGCCCCACAGCGACCTGGGCCCCCCCCGTCCCTCCTGTCCCCTTGGGGACATACCCACCACTGCTGGGACCCCAAAACTCACAGGGACCCCCATGGGGAGCCCCACAGTGTTCTGGGCCCCCCCGTCCCTCCTGTCCCCTTGGGGACATACCCACCACTGCTGGGACCCCAGAACTGCCCGGGACGCCCTGGGGAGCCCCACAGCGGCCTGGGCCCCCCCCGTCCCTCCTGTCCCCTCGGGGACATACCCAGCACTGCTGGGACCCCAAAACTCACAGAGACCCCCATGGGGAGCCCCACAGCGGCCTGGGCCCCCCCCGTCCCTCCTGTCCCCTTGGGGACATACCCAGCACTGCTGGGACCCCAAAACTGCCCGGGACGCCCTGGGGAGCCCCACAGCAGCCTGGGCCCCCCCGTCCCCTCGGGGACACCCCTGAGCCCAGAGACCCCCATGGGGAGCCCCACAGCACCCTGGGCCCCCCCCTGTTCCCTTGGGGACATCAGCTGCACCGGTGGGACCCCAAAACCGCCCGGGGCACCCTGGGGAGCCCCACAGTGGGCTGGGCCCCCCCTGTCCCTCCTGTCCCCTCGGGGACATCCCTGAGCCAAGGGACCCCCATGGGGAGCCCCACAGCGACCTGGGCCCCCCCTGTCCCCTCGGGAACATCAGCTGCACCGGTGGGACCCCAAAACTCCCCAACCCCCACCGTGTCCCCTCAGGGACCCCCGTGTCCCTTTGGGCACTGGGGGACCCCAAAGCCCCCCTGGGGACATCCCCTGCTCCAGGGGACCCCAGAGCCCCGTCTGTCCCCCCTCTTTGTCCCCACGCTTTGGGACGGGAACACCGAGGGGGAAACCCGGGAGCCCCCAGTGCTGGGGCTGCAGGGGGGGTGGGGAGGGGTCCCCGCTGTCCCCGCTGTCCCCGGTGTCCCCGCTGTCCCCGACCCCCCTGTCCCCCTGTCCCCAGGGCAGGGTCCCAGCAAGAAGGCGGCGAAGCACAAGGCGGCCGAGGTGGCCCTGAGGCTGCTCAGAGGGGGGGGGGCCATGCTGGAGCCCCTGGAGCAAAGGTGGGGGCTGGGGGGGCACTGAGGGTGACTGGGGGGCGCCCAGGGGTGGGGGGCACCGGCCTGGGGGGGCTCTGGAGGGAGGGAGGGTGGGGGTACCCAGAGGGGGCTTGGGGGTCCTGTGGGATGTGGGGGCTCTGGTGGGTCTGGGGGGGCCTGGGAGGGGTTTGGGGGGTCTGAGGGGGTTTGGGGGGGTTTGTGGGGGCGCCTCTGACCCCTCCCCTCCCCCCAGCTCTGCTTTCCCCCCGGAGCCCCCGGCAGAGCCCGGCCCCGCCGCGCCCCCCCCGGCCCCCGCCGCGCCCCCCACCTCGCCCAGGTAAGGGGGGCCACCGTGTCCCCACCCCCAAACCCCCCCGGCCCCTCTGAGCCCCTCCCGAGGGGCCCTGGGCGCCCCCTGACCCCTGTGCCCCACAGGGGCGCCCCCCTGGAGATGAAGACGCCGGTGTCGCCCCCCCAGGCCGAGTGTAACCCCGTGGGGGCTCTGCAGGTGGGTGGCACCAGGAGGGGACACGGGGGACACTGATCGATCCCCCTGCCTGCCCCGGGCTGGGGGGGTGGCCTGGCCACCGTGGGGGGACCTCAGCCCTTTGTGGGGTGGGGGGAGCACGATGGCATTTGTGGGGGGGGTCTTCCTCCTTTTCGGGACAGTTCTGGGGACAGCTGCCTCCATTCGGGGGCTGCTTGTCCCCATTTAGGGACAGTTACTCCCATTTTGGGGCTGCTTATCCCCATTTAGGGACAGTTACTCCCATTTTGGGGCTGCTTATCCCCATTTAGGGACAGTTATTCTGCTTTTGGGGCTGCTTATCCCTGTTTAGGGAGGGTTATTCCTGCTTTGAGCTGGTTATCCCCGTTTGGGGACAGTTCTTCCCATTTTGGGGCTGCTTATCCCCGTTTAGGGACAGTTACTCCTGCTTCGGGCTGGTTATCCCTCTTTTGGGGACAGTTATCCCCATTTTGGGACCATTATCCCCATTTTGAGGACAGTTATCCCCATTTTGGGACCATTATCCCCATTTTGGGGCCATCTTGGGGCTGGTTATCCCTGTTTTGGGCCAGCTGTCTCCATTTTGGAGCGTGTCACCGCCCTGTGGGGCCACTGATGGCAGCTCAGGGCTGTCCCCACGGGGGTGGCGTGTCCCCACGGGTGTCCGTGTCCCCACAGGGGTGGCGTGTCCCCACGGGTGTCCGTGTCCCCGCAGGAGCTGGTGGTGCAGAAGGGCTGGCGCCTGCCCGAGTACACGGTGACGCAGGAGTCGGGGCCGGCGCACCGCAAGGAGTTCACCATGACGTGCCGCGTGGAGAGATTCGTGGAGATCGGTGAGGGGCCGGCCCGGGGGTCCCGGGGGGGTCCCGGGGGGGTCCCGGGGGTCCCGGGGGGGGGTCCCGGGGGTCCCGGCTCACCCCCAGCCCTCCCAGGCAGCGGCACCTCCAAGAAACTGGCCAAGCGCAACGCGGCCGCCAAGATGCTGGTGCGCATCCACAACGTGCCCATGGAGCCGCGCGACGGCAGCGAGGCCGAGGGCGAGGAGGACCAGTTCAACATGGTACTGGGGGCACTGGGAGGGACACGGGCACCCCAGAGCCACCCCTGAGTCACCCAGAGCCGCCCCAGAGCCACCCCTGAGTCACCCAGAGCCGCCCAACGTCACCCAGACCCACCCCAGAGCCACCCCTGAGTCGCTCAAAGTCACCCAGAGCCATTGAGAACCATCCCAGAGCCACCCAAAGTCACGCAGAGCCACCTAAAGTCACCCAGAGCCACCCAGAGAAAACCAGAGTCATCCAAAGTCACCCAGAGCCACCTAAAGTCACCCAGAGCCACCCCAGAGTCACCCAGAGTCACCCCAGAGCCACCCCAGAGTCACCCAGAGAAAACCAGAGCCACCCCATAGCCACCCAGAGCCACCCAGAGCCACTTCAAAGCCCCCCAGAGTCACCCAGAGCCACCCCAAAGTCCCCCAGAGTCCCCCAGAGCCACCCCAGAGTCCCCCAATGTCACCCAGAGCCCCCCAGAGTCACCCAAAGTGCCCCAGAGTGCCCCAGAGCCCCCCAGAGTCCCCCAGAGCCCCCCGCGTCTCCCCCGCTCCAGGGCCCCCTCGGGGTTGGGGGCTGTGGGTGGTCCCGGGGCCGTTCCGGGGGGTTCCCAGCCGAGCGCCCCGTGCCCCCTCCCCAGACGTGCCCGCGGCTGGAGGGGCTGCGGGGCCGCGCCCCCGGCTGCACTTGGGACTCGCTGCGCAACTCGGCGGGCGAGAAGCTGGGCCAGCTGCGGGGCCGGGGCGGCAACCCCGCGCCGGGGGGAGCCTGCGCCCTCCTGCAGGAGCTCTCGGAGGAGCAGAGCTTCGCCATCAGCTACCTCGACATCGGTGAGTGAGCCCCGGCGGCCCCGGCCCGCCCGGCCCCGCCCGGCCCCGCCCGGCCCCGCCCGGCCCGGGGTGACCGCGCTGTGCCCCCAGACGCGCTGAGCCTCAGCGGGCTGCACCAGTGCCTGGTGGAGCTGTCCACGCAGCCGACCACGGTGTGCCACGGATCCGCCCCGTCCCGCGACGGCGCCCGCGCCCAGGCGGCCCGCAACGCGCTGCAGTACCTGCGCATCATGGCCGGGGGCAAGTGAGCCCCGCCCGGGGGCAGCGAGCCCCGCCCGGGGACAGCGAGCCCCTCCCGGGGGCAGAGAGCCCTTCCCGGGGGCAGCGAGCCCCGCCCGGGGGCACCGAGCCCCGCCCGGGGGCAGCGAGCCCCGCCCGGGGGCAGCGAGCCCCTCCCGGGGCCACCGAGCCCCTCCCGGGGGCAGCGAGCCCCTCCCGGGGCCACCGAGCCCCGCCCGGGGGCAGCGAGCCCCTCCCGGGAGCAGCGAGCCCTTCCCGGGGACAGCGAGCCGCTCCCGGGGGCAAGTGAGCCCCGCCCGGGGCCACTGAATCCTGCCCGGGGCCACCGAGCTCCTCCCGGGGGCAGCGAGCCCCGCCCGGGACCACCGAATCCTGCCCGGGGCCACCGAGCTCCTCCCGGGGCCACCGAGCCCCGCCGCTCGCGGCCCCCGCCGCGGGCGGACGGACAGACGGACCTCAGGGAGGGCCCGGGGCGCCCTCCCGCCTGGAGCCGCTCCGGAGGGTCCCCCGGGCCCCCGGAATAAAGCCGGGGGGGTTTTGTAGTCCCGGTGTCGGTGTCTGCCTGGGCCGGGGGGCGGAAGAGGGGCGGGAGGCGCGGAAACAGAGCGGGGCTCGGGCCGGGGTCTCCGATTTATTGGGGGTGCCCGGGGCTCGGGCCGGGGTCTCCGCTTTATTCGGGGCCGGGGCCGGGGTCTCCGCTCGGGCCCGGTTCCGGGCCGGGGTCTCCGCTCGGGCCCGGGGCTCGGGCCGGGGTCTCCGCTCGGGCCCGGTTCGGGCCGGGGTCAGCGGCGGCGGCCGAAGCGCTGCGGGGTCGCCATGGTCCAGAACGGAGCCACCGGCGGGTCGGAGCTGCGGGGGCTGAGCCGGGCCTGGGGCCCCCCCTGCGGCCCCCAGCCCCACCTGCGGGGGACAGGGCAGCGCTGGTGACACGGTGGGGACAGACAGGGGGACAGGGGCGGGTGAGACGGACGGACGGACGGACGGGAACGGGCTGAGCGCGGACACTTGGTGGGACCCCATCCCCACGTCTCTGACCCTTCTCTCGGCCCCCCGAAGCACCCACGTCCCCCCCCCTCCTGCGTCCCCGACCCCACCCCTGGGTGCCCCCAGACCCCGCAGCCCGGCCCGGTCCCCGCTCACCTCCCGGGGGCGCGGCCGGGGCGCTGCAGGGACCGGAGCAGCGCTCCCAGGGCGGCGGCGGCGGCGGCGGCGGGGGGCGGCCCCGGGGGGGCGGCGGCCTGAGGCGGGAGAGCACCGGGGCTCACAGCGCTCCTGGAACCGGAGAGCGACCCCCGAGCCCAGCCCCGAGCACCCCCCACAAAGCGGACCCCCCGCTCCGCCGGGCCGGGGCTCACCGGGGCCGGGCCGGGGGTCCCGGGACAGGCGCGGGCGGAGCGCGGGGTCCCCGCCAGCAGCAGCAGCAGCAGCAGCAGGAGCAGCACCGGGCGCTCCGCCATCGCCGCCGCCATCGCCGCCGCCCCGCCGCCGCCGCCTCTTATAGCCGGGCCGGGCCGGGCCGGGGGTCCCGGGGGAGCGGGGGGCGGCGGGAGCTGCCCCGGCCCCGCCGCCGTTAATGAAAACCATTTAGCAGCCGCGACAGCCGCGACAGCCGCCCCCGGGGACGGACAGACGGATGGACCGACGGGGGAGCCCCGCACCTCCCGCCCGGCCCGGGCCCCGCAACCGGCAGCGCCGGGGCTGCGGAGCGAGACCCCCGGGACCCCCGTCCTGCACCGAGGCCGGGATCCCCGGAGACCGGGACCCCCCCCCCCCCCGACCCCCAACCAGCCCATACCCCCACACCGGGACCCCCCCTGACCCCCAACAGCCCATCTGCCCCACACCGGGACCCCCCGGTCCCCCCCCGGCCGTGTGTCGCTGTCGCCGCCCGGTGGCCGCTGCGCGCTCCTGCAGCCCCGACGGCGCGGCCGCGGCCGCCCCCGACCCCAAACCAGCCGAAATCGCCCCAAAATTCGCACCCGGGGGCGCCCCGCGACACTGCGGTGTCCCCAGAAGCCGCTCCCCGCCCCCCGGGCCCAGCCGGTGCCACCCGCCCCGGGAACGCCCGGGACACGCGGGGGTGTCCGTGGGACCAGGTGGCACCGGGTGTCCCCGTTCCTCACCCCACGAAGGGCAGCAGCCGGCGGCTCCTGGGTAATATTTTAATGTTATATTTGCAGCATAAATAAAAGGCACGTTACATGTTTGGTATGACACGGCCGAGGGCTGGGGACGCTGGGACGTGTCCCCCGGGTCCCCGCGCGGCCCCGGCCCCCGCGGGGCTGTGAGGACCCGCTCACAGGAGCCCGGGCGGGGCGGGGGTCCCTCGGGGGCTGCGGGGGTCGCTCAGACCCGCGGCGGCCGATCTACGATATATGGGTGCGTATACGCGTCGATATGGACTGATAAGATACTACACAGGTACTCGGGGGGTCCTTTTTTGGCTTCTTCCATTATTGATCGTCAAAGCTCGTGGCACAAAGCAGCGGGGGGGTGGGGGGCAGCCCAGGACCCTCCTCCCGTGTCCCTTCGGCACCTCCCGGGCTCGTTCGGGGCCCCGCGGGAGCGGGACTGGGGTGAACGGAGCAGGAACGGGTCCAGGAGCCCCAAAATGACACAATTCCCACCTGAGCCGAGAATTCCGGAAAAAACACCAGTGGGGGTGGGGGGGAACAGGCACCAACCCTTCCCACGCCGCCCGATCCGGAGGGGTTTGAAGGCTGAAAAGGGAGGAAGAGGAGGGAGGGTTCCCAGGGCCTGGTTTGCAGCCATTCAATGTTCCTGTTCAATAATTCCGATCAAATCCATAAATCCCAAATTCCCGCGGCCGATCCCGCTCTCTGTCCCCCCATCCCGGCCCTAACGGGGCCCTTCTGACCCCGCAGAGCTGCGAGGAGCCCCCGATGACCCCGGGCTGCAGGTCCCGGCAGGGAGGGGACAGGAGGGGACAGGAGAGGGACAGGAGGGGACAGAAGGGGACAGGAGGGGACAGGAGGGGACAGGAGGAAGGCTCTGTCCCCCGGGATTCCCGGGGCTGGCAGAGCAAAGTGCAGGTGCCCGGCGCTGCCGAGCGGGGCCGGGGGCTGCCACCCCCGGAAAAGCGGGAGGAATCACCACGGGACAGAATCAGGGAGGTTTTGCCCCAAAACTGGTCACAAAAACTGCTTTTGGGGTAAAACACGCGTGGAATGGGCACGGGAAGCTCCAGCCCTGTGAGTGCAGCCCCAGGTACAGCCCAACCCGGATTCGGCTCGCTCCCGCTCGTCCCTGACCACCTTTGGAGCTTTCCCAGCTTTCTTTTTGGGGATTTGCAGAATTTTCAAGGCACTGGCGATGGGGAATGTGGGAATGGGGAAATTCAGGCCATGGAGGGACGGGGACAAAGCTGCTCCCGCACCCCCATCCCGAGGGGGCCCCGAGCATTGCCGGGAGGGGCAGCGAGGCAGGAAAACCGCACCGGACAAAACCCAGCGGTGCCCCCAGGGCACAGTGAGGGGCCGCTGCCCTCGATCCAAACGCTCTCCTGGATTTTCCAGCCTTTGCTCATCCCGGTTCTGCCAGCCAGGCCCCCACAGCAAACGGGAGCAGCGGTGGGACCAGCCCAGAGCTCAATTCTCCTTCCCCCGGCACGGGAGGAGCTGCTGCATCCTGCAGCTCCTGCAGCCCTGCGAGGATCTGCTGCATCCTGCAACCCTGCAAGGACCTGCTGCATCCTGCAGCTCCTGCAACCCTGCGAGGACCTGCTGCATCCTGCAGCTCCTGCAACCCTGCAAGGACCTGCTGCATCCTGCAGCTCCTGCAACCCTCGAGGATCTGCTGCATCCTGCGGCTCCTGCAGCTCCTGCAACCCTGCAAGGACCTGCTGCATCCTGCAGCTCCTGCAGCCCTGCGAGGATCGCCCAGAACGGCCCCGAGCCCTCCCGGCCCCTCCTGGGCCCTCCTGGTCGGGACAGGGAAGGTTGGGAGCCCCGGGCTGGGCTTTAGGAACAGCTTTAAGGGGGGAAAAGGCATTTGGGGGATGTGCGGGACCCCAACAAGAGATTCCCGAGGCTGGATGTGACCCCGAGCACGGAGAGGGAAAAGGGGAGTGCGGGAGCAGCAACACAAACCCACCCCGACCCCGACCCCGACCCTGATCCCGACCCTGACCCCAATCCCGACCCCGATCCCAGCTGAGGAAGAGCTGCACAAGAGGGAGGAGAGAATTGGATTCCATCGCTGGGCAGACCCCAAAGCTCAGGACTCTCCCAGCAGCGCTCACATCCCCGTCTCCTCCTGCTCAGCCCTGGCTTTGGGGTTTGCTGTCCCTGGGAACCTTCCAAGTGTGGGAAACCACCGGAATCACCTGGAGAATCCAACCGGCTCCAAAGTGGCGAGTGCGACCTGACCTGAGGGGGGTTGGCTGAGGGGGGACCTGTGAGGGGCCGGAATTCCGAGGGCTGGAGCCGTTCCAGGGAGCGGGACAAGATTCCCTCCACATCCCAAAAGCCGGCGGAGCCCCTCCCATGCCCCCTGCCCCATCCCCCCTGCCCCATGCCCCATGCCCCGTCCCCGTCCCCGCAGGGACACAGGGGACACCCAGCGCCCCCGGCAGGACCAGGACCCGGTGCAGCTCCTCCCCGCGCAGGAGGGATCCGGCCCTGCCCCGGCCCGGGGGTGAATCCTTTGTCTGCCCCCTCCCCTCGGTCAGGAACAATCCGGGATTTAAGGCCACCATTGCCGCGGTCAGCGCGGTCCGTGGGCGGGAGGTGACAGGCTTTGGGGTGGCTCCGGCTGCTGTCCCTGCGTCCCACAGCGGAGCCCCAATTCCCGGGGAGGCGGGAGCAGCCCTGGCCCGGGACCCCCGAGCGCCCAGGGACCCCAAAATCCACGGCTGGGGCTGGGGCTGGGGCAGCTCAGAGCTCCGGGGGGCTCCGGGTGAAGGTGCAACGGTTCGGGGAGCGGGGACGGGGCTGGGACAGCACGGGGACAGCGGGAGTGTCACAGAGTCCTGCCAGGGGACAGCAGGAGGGTCACAGCGTCCTGCCAGGGGACAGCGGGAGTGTCACAGCGTCCTGCCTGGGGACAGCAGGAGTGTCACAGAGTCCTGCAGGAGTGTCACAGAGTCCTGCCTGGGGACAGGAGTGTCACAGAGTCCTGCCTGGGGACAGCAGGAGTGTCACAGCCCCCCGCCCAGGGGACAGGAGTGTCACAGCGTCCTGCAGGAGTGTCACATCCCCCTGCCAGGGGACAGCAGGAGTGTCACAGCCCCCAGCCCAGGGGACAGGAGTGTCACAGCCCCCTGCCAGGGCCGGGCCATTTAGTGTTTGCCCCACGATGGCCGAACCCGCCCCTCCCGGGGCTCTGCCCCAGAGCTCCGCGGGCAGTGGGGGAGCGCCGGAGCCGCCCTTAACTCAGCACGGAACAAGAGAAGAGAAAACCCCAGACTGCAGAGGAAGGGTCCCGCGGCCAGTCCGAGCGCGCTCCGGGCCATCATCTGCCGGCAGACTGCGACTGTGGGGCCATGATGACGGGCGAGGCCGCGGGCACGGCCAGCTCTGTCCTTTGCCCGGCCAGCTGCGCCAGCACCGAGGTGGCCACGGCCTCGGCGGCCGAACGCGCGGCGCCCCCCAGCCCGTTGGGGCCCGAGCTGTGCTGGATGACGGGCGCGGGAGAGCCCGCGGGCTCCGAGCGCTCCTTCGGGCTGCCTGCGGGCGAGAGGGCACAGGGGAGAGTCAGAGCCGGGCCGGGGTGGGGTGGGAGAGGGGCTGGGGTGGGGTGGGAGTGGGGCTGGGAACGGGGCTGGGGGAGTCAGAGCCGGGCCCGGGGCTGGGGTGGGCTGGGAGTGGGGCTGGGAGTGGGGTGGGAGTGGGGCTGGGGTGGGGTGGGAGTGGGGCTGGGAGTGGGGCTGGGAGTGGGGCTGGGAGTGGGGCTGGGGTGGGCTGGGAGAGCTGCTGGTTTGGGGTGGGAACAGAACTGGTTTGGGGTGGGAATGGTGCTGGTTTGGGGTAGGAGAGCTTCTGGTTTGGGGTAGGAATGGTGCTGACCCAGAGGGTCAGGGACCAGCAGGAACCGGCCGGACACTCGAGCCCAGCTGGACACTCCAGCCCGGCCGGACACTCCAGCCCAGCCGGACACTCCAGCCTGGCCCGGACACTCCAGCCCGGCCGGACACTCCAGCCTGGCCGGACACTCGAGCCCGGCCGGACACTCCAGCCCAGCCACCTCTCCAGCCTGGAGCAGCGCGGTGCCCACCCCCCGGAACGTGGGACCCCCTCCCTTGGGGCAGGACCGGGTCATCAGGACCCTCCCCACCCCGAGGATCCGCGGCTGGATCCTCCCGAATTCCGCAGGAAGCAGCGCAGCTTCCCGAGGAGGGCAGCACTGGCACAGCCTTCCTCCCACCCTCCACTCCCCACCGTGAATTCCTCGTTAAAGGAATTAATTTCCCCCCAGGTTGTGCACCGAGGCTGAGCAGCCCCTTCCCCACCTGCCAGGGGGAGCAGGATGCCTCAGCAGGGCCGGATTTTTACCGAAATCGCCTCTTTTGCTCCTTACGGCTCCCAGGACAGCCCCATCCATCACAGCTCTGCTCCGTGAGGGGCAGACAAAGGCAGAGCCGCCTTCCCTTTGTTCAGGGGCTTCCGCAATTTCGGGGGGCACCCAGAGCTCTGCAGCCACCCGTGCCAGCAGGAAACCCACCTCCCCTCGGAGGGGGGAACAAAGGCAGAGCTGGGGTACTGCTGGGGTACTGCTGGGGTGTTTCTGGGGTGTTTCTGGGGTGTTTCTGGGATATTTCTGGGGATATTTCTGGGGTATTTCTGGGTATATTTCTCGGATATTTCTGGGGATATTTCTGGGGATATTGCTGGGGTATTTCTGGGATATTTCTGGGTATATTTCTGGAGATATTTCTGGGGTATTTCTGGGATATTTCTGGGTATATTTCTGGGGTATTTCTGGGGGTATTTCTGGGGATATTTCTGCGGTATTTCTGGGATATTTCTGGGGTATTTCTGGGGATATTTCTGCCACAGGAAACCCCGGGGGAAAAGCAGGTGTGGGGTTTCACCCCTCGCTGGGCACTGGGAGTGGACCTTGGCCCGGGCACCCCAAAGCCCGGGGGGTTCACAGTGCCAGGAGAGCGCCCAGAGGGGCTGCAGCTCCCCGGGGAGCCCGGGGCTGTGTTCAGGACCTGGGCAGGACCTGGGGCTTTGTTCAGGACCTGGGGCTTTGTTCAGGACCTGGGGCTGTGTTCAGGACCCGGGGCTTTGTTCAGGACCTGGGCAGGACCCGGGGCTTTGTTCAGGAACAGCCCCTCCAGCAATCCCCGTGCCCCCAGGCAGGGCAGAATTCCACAGACCCACACACGGGTGCAGGGCACAGCCCCCAGGGACACCCAATTTTCATTTTTTAGGGTTTTTTCCCCTTTTTCTCCCTCGGTTTTTGCGGTTTCCATGCTCTCAGCCTGTCCTGTTTTTCCAAGGAACACTAGAGGACTCCAGCGTCCTCTGAAGCCTCTCAGCAGCCTGGAACTGCAGCTGCAGGGAGGGCAGCAGGACCCAGGGCGTGTTTAGCTCCTGGCTGGTTAGAATGGAACAGGCAGCATTAAAAAAAAATTATGGGAAGAAAAGGAGATAAAAAACAGCCTTTTTCTATTTTTTTTTTTTTTGTAACTCCCAAGCCGAGCCAGCTCGGTGGGAATTGCAGAGAATGAGCAATGGAGCTCCATGATGTCATGGAGAGAGCCTGGCCTCTCTGACTCGGCCTTTGCTGCGGAGCCGCAAATCTGGGACGAAAAAGGGATGAAAAAGGGCTCGGAGCAGCAAATTTGGGACGAAAAAGAGCTCGGAGCAGCAAATTTGGGATGAAAAAGGGATGAAAAAGGGCTCGGAGCAGCAAATTTGGGATGAAAAAGGGATGAAAAAGGGCTCGAAGCAGCAAATTTGGGATGAAAAAGGGATGAAAAAGGGCTCGAAGCAGCAAATTTGGGACTCCAAAAGGATGAAAAAGGGCTCGGAGCAGCAAATTTGGGATGAAAAAGGGATGAAAAAGGGCTGGGAGCAGCAAATTTGGGACTCCTAAAGGATGAAAAAGGGCTCGGAGCAGCAAATTTGGGATGAAAAAAGGATGAAAAAGGGCTGGGAGCAGCAAATTTGGGACGAAAAAGGGCTGGGAGCAGCAAATTTGGGACTCCCAAAGGATGCAAAAGGGCTCGGAGCAGGGAGAGCTGGAGCCACTGCAGACCCCACCTGCAGAGGGACAGGGACACAAACCCTGCCCTGGGCACTGCCCCACGGTGGTGCCACCCCAAGGCCAAAGGGACAATCCGGGGGATCCTCCTGGTCAGGAGATGGGCAGAAAGGGCTTTTTGGGGCATTTCTGGGGGTTTTTGGGGTGTCCTGTGCTGGGCCCTGTGATGTGGCAGCCCTGCCCTGCAGTGACCCCGAGTGACAAGGGGGTGACAAGGGGGTGATGGGGGTGACAGGGGGTGACAGGGGGTGACAGGGTGACAGCAGGGGCACAGCAGCACTCACCCAGGTATCCCTGGCTCTTCTTCTGCAGGGCGGTGACGGGACAGTCCTTGTGGGCCAGCAGCAGCTGCTTCAGCTGAGCCACCTCGTTCCGGAGCAGCGTCACCTCGTTCTGAGGGGACACACGGGGCCGTGTCACCCCAGAGCCCCACGTGCCACCAGCCTCGGGCTCGGCTCCAGCTTTGGGGTGACACCAGGGGCAGGAACACTTTGGGGTGACACCAGGGGCGGCAGAAGTTTGGGGTCACACCAGGGGCAGCAGCACTTTGGGGTGACACCAGGGGCAGCAGCACTTTGGGGTGACACCAGGGAGAACTGGGAGCGCTCTGGGGAGAACTGGGAGTGCTCTGGGAGAACTGGGAGCACTCAGGGGATAACTGGGAGCGCTCCTGGGCATCCCAGGGTGCTGCAGCCCCAGCACAGCAGAGAAAAGGAGATCCCACTGTGCACCATCAGCTGCTCTGGGAGCATCTCAGGGGAGACAAAGGGCCGTGCCAGGGCCGTGCCAGGGCCGTGCCAGCGCCGTGACTGTGCCAGGGCCATGACTGTGCCAGCGCCGTGCCCGTGCCAGCGCCGTGCCGGGGCTGCGCTCAGCCCCAGTACATACTCACGCTCAGCTGGATGTTCTGGCTGGTCAGCTCCTCGGCTTTCTTCTCCAGGGAGGACACCCAGAGCTTGCGCTTCTGGCGGCAGCGCGAGGCGGCCGCGCGGTTCCGCTCCAGGAAGCGCTGCCGCCGCTCGTCCGGGTCCTCGTCCGCCGCGCGCCGCCGGCGCCCGCCCGTGCTGGGCGTGGGCTGGGCAGGGGACACCTGGGGACGGGGACGGGGACGGGGACAGGCTCAGCAGCAGCTCTGGGGCAGGCAGGACACAGCCCCGGCTGTTAAACAGCTGATTTGCTTCAAAAATTAATTTTCCTCTCAAAACCCCGGGCCAAACAAGGTCGTGGAGACAACAGGCAACGGGAGGTTTTGTAGGGCCCCGGTTCTGCAGCCCCCAGGGCTGTGGGGCCAGCCCGGCCCCACGGCAGCAGACAGAGATTAAACTCAGCAAACCCACCCAATATTAAATTTAGCAAACCCACCAGAGATTAAATTGAGCAAATCCACCCGAGATTAAACTCGGCAAACCCATCCGAGATTAAACTCGGCAAACCCACCCGAGATTAAATTTGGCAAAACCACCTGAGATTAAACTCAGCAAACCCATCTGAGATTAAACTCGGCAAGCCCACCCAATATTAAACTCAGCAAACCCACCCAAGATTAAACTCGGCAAGGCCATCTGAGATTAAATTCTGCAAACCCACTTGAGATTAAACTTGGTGAGCCCACCCAATATTAAACTCAGCAAACCCATCCAAGATTAAACTCAGCAAACCCACCCAAGATTAAACTCGGCGAGCCCATCTGAGATTAAATTTGGCAAACCCACCCAAGATTAAACTGGGCAAACCCACCCAAGATTAAACTGGGCGAGCCCACCCCAGCCCGGAGCGGTGCCGCTGGTGGCAGCCAGCCCCGCTGGTGGCAGCCAGCCCCGCCGGTGGCAGCCAGTCCCGCTGGTGGCAGCCTGGCACCTGGCTGGCACCTGGCTGGCACCTGGCTGGCACCAGCAGCCAGCCCCGCTGATGGGCTGAGAGGGGAAATGCTCCTCGCAGCTCCAGAGCTCCAGGCAGTGCCTCAGCGCGGGAGCAGCACTGGGATGAACAGGTTTTGGCCCGTTCTGCGCTGGGCAGGGCTCTGGGGCCGTTCTGCCCTCAGGGCAGCCGCACACACACCTGGGGCTGGGCCGGCGAGGGCGCGTCGGGGTGCTGGCCCAGGGCCTGGCTCTGCTCCGGCCGCGCGGTCACCATGCTGCTGGCCGAGCCCACCGCCAGGCCGCCGCCGTTCAGCGAGGAGGAACCGGCCAGGCTGGCCTTCAGCCTCTGCCAGGGGAGCAAAAGGGACTCAGAGGAGCTGCCAGGGCCCCCGGGAGCTCCTGCCGCCCTGCAGCCACCAACAGTGCCCAGCCAGGCCAGGGGGCAGTGACCAGCCAGGCCAGGGGGCAGTGACCAGTCCAGGCCAGTGGGCAGTGCCCAGCCCAGCCCAGGGGGCAGTGCCCAGCCCAGCCCAGCCCAGCCCAGCCCAGCCCAGGGGGCAGTGTCCAGCCCAGCCCAGCCCAGCCCAGCCCAGCGGGCAGTGTCCAGCCCAGAGGGCAGTGACCAGCCAGGCCAGGGGGCAGTGTCCAGCCCAGCCCAGCGGGCAGTGTCCAGTCCAGGCCAGGGGGCAGTGTCCAGCCCAGCCCAATGGGCAGTTCCAGCCCAATGGGCAGTGTCCAGCCCAGCCCAGCCCAGTGGGCAGTGTCCAGCCCAGCCCAGCCCAGCCCAGCAGGCAGTGTCCAGCCCAGCCCTCTGCTGGCACTGGCAGCAATTCCCTGCCCAGCTGGCAGCTCCAGGGACTGAGCAGGCTGCAGAGCCCCCACAGTGGGATATGGGGGTGGAAAAGCCTCCAGGCAGGAGGTGCTGGAGGCTGAGGGACCCCGTGCCCCCACTCACCATTTTGGCCTCGGAGTGCACCGGCAGTCCGGAGGGCGACAGGGACCCGCTGCTGTTGATGGGGGGCCCGGGAATGCCGGGGATGTTGGGCACCATGGCCATGGGCCGGGCCAGCTGTGAGGGGAGCGGGGACAGCAGCGCTGGCACGTGCAGCAGCCCTGAGGAGCTCCCTTCCCTTCCCTTCCCTTCCCTTCCCTTCCCTTCCCTTCCCTTCCCTTCCCTTCCCTTCCCTTCCCTTCCCTCCCTTCCCTTCCCTTCCCTTCCCTTCCCTTCCCTTCCCTTCCCTTCCCTTCCCTTCCCTTCCCTTCCCTTCCCTTCCCTTCCCTTCCCTTCCCTTCCCTTCCCTTCCCTTCCCTTCCCTTCCCTTCCCTTCCCTTCCCTCCCCTGCGAGCTCGGCTGCCCTCGGAGGGCAGGGCAGGACAGGGAGGCGGCTCTGGAAGTTTCTCTCACCGAGATGACTGAGGGCATCTGCACGGCGGGGCCGGGCAGCACGGGCACGGTCTGCCCGTTGGCGAGCTGCACCACGAGCGGGAGGGAGCCGCCGGGAGACCTGCAAAAATCCAACTCTGCAGCCCTGCAGCCCTGCCCGGGGCTGGCAGCCTGGAGGCCACGCTCCAGAGGCACCAAACACGGCCTGAGACGAGCCCTGAGACAATCCCTGAGCCATCCCAGAGCCAGAGACAATCCCAGATACAATCCCTGAGACAATCCCAGAGACAATCCCAAGCCATCCCAGCTCCCAGCACAATCCCTGCCACAATCCCCGAGCCCTCCCTGCTCCTGAGACCACCCCAGACACCATCCCAGCCCCATCCTCTGAGCAGTCCCAGCCATCCCAGCCCCGACACATTCCCCAGCAGCAGCCAGCGCCGTGCTGAGCTCGGGGAGCTCTTCCATCTCTCCCACGGTGAGTTTTGCCTCGTTTCATCGAGTTCTGCCTCGTTTCCTCACTGCAGGACAATCAGTTCCTGCTTCCCACCGTGCCGTGGCAGCCGGAGCGTGACTGACAGCGGTGACAGCGGTGACAGCGGTGACAGCGCCAGGCCCCGCCGGGGCAGCTCCTCCAGGGGATTCCCTGGGGCTGGAACTCCCTGGGGACGGAATTCCGGGATTCCAGCGCTCCCTGCCCCTACTCACCCCAGCTGTCTGTTGGAGGGGGGCGCCTGGGTGATGACGGAGGTGGGGGACGGCAGCGTGGGGTGCAGGGGCTCGTAGCCCCCCAGGTGCAGCGGCAGCGAGCCCGGCCGCACGATGGTGGGCGTGGGCGTGGAGAGGATCACGGGCCTGGAGGGGCTCTCCTGTGGGGCAGAACACACAACGGGGGCTGCTGACCGCTGCTGCCCGGCCCTGCCTCCTGCAGGCTCCAGAACTCGGCACGGGAGTTCATCCGGCACGGAAACCCGGGGCAGCGCGTCAGCCCGGGCACGCGGCGAGGAGGGGACGGGCTCCAGCCCCTCATTTTGGGGTGCTGGAGAGGGGGGTGAAGCTCCAGCCCCTCATTTTGGGGTGTTTTAGAGCTCCAGCTCCTCATTTTGGGGTGTTTTAGAGCTCCAGCCCCTCATTTTGGGGTATCTTAGAGCTCCAGCCCCTCCGTTCAGGATGTTTTGGAGCTCCAGCCCCTCATTTTGGGGTGTTTTAGAGCTCCAGCCCCTCATTTTGGGGTGTTTTAGAGCTCCAGCCCCTCAGCTTGGGGTGCTGGAGAGGGAGGTGAAGCTCCAGCCCCTCATTTTGGGGTATCTTGGAGCTCCAGCCCCTCCATTCAGGATGTTTGGAAGCTCCAGCCTCTCCATTTGGGGTGCTTTAGAAAGGGGTGATTCTCCAGCCCCTCTGCCTGTCCCTTCAGCGGCCCAGCTCGGGCCCCAAATAGCCCAACTCGGGCCCCAAAAAGCCCAACTCGGGCCCCAAAAAGCCCAGCTCGGGCCCCAAATAGCCCAACTTGGGCCCCAAAAAGCCCAGCTCAGGCCCCAAAAAGCCCAGCTCAGGCCCCAAAAAGCCCATCTCGGGCCCCAAAAAGCCCAGTTCAAGCCCCAAAAAGCCCAGCTGGGTGTCCCCGGGCAGTGTCCCTCAGCAGCCCGGGCACAGGGCACTGCCCCACCTTGTCCTGGCGCGGGGCCGAGCGCGGCCGCGGCGCGGGACTGTCCGGCGGGGACGAGTCCACCTCCACCGGCTCCTCCTCCTTGATCTTCATGTCCGGCGTGGGGGGCAGAGACATGTCCAGGGCCCCCGGGCTCTGCGGGACGGGAGGGACAGTCAGACCGGGGGGGACAGACCATGGGGGGACAGAGGGACCTGGGGGGACAGAGACCTGGGGGGGACAGTCAGACCGGGGGGGACAGAGGGACCTGGGGGGACAGACAGACCGGGGGGGGACAGAGGGACCTGGGGGGACAGAGGGACCCTGGGGGGACAGACAGACCTGGGGGGGACAGAGAGACATGGGGGGACAGAGAGACCTGGGGGGGACAGACAGATCTGGGGGGACAGAGAGATCTGGGGGGGACAGAGAGACCTGGGGGGACAGTCAGACCTGGGGGGACAGAGAGACCTGGGGGGACAGAGAGTCCCTGGGGGGGACAGAGAGATCTGGGGGGGACAGAGAGATCTGGGGGGGACAGAGAGACATGGGGGGACAGAGAGATCTGGGGGGACAGAGAGATCTGGGGGGGACAGAGAGACATGGGGGGACAGAGAGATCTGGGGGGACAGAGAGATCTGGGGGGACAGAGAGACCTGGGGGGACAGAGAGATCTGGGGGGACAGAGAGGTCTGGAGGGACAGAGAGACCTGGGGGGACAGAGAGACCTGGGGGGACAGAGAGATCTGGGGGGGACAGAGAGACCTGGGGGGGACAGAGAGACCTGGGGGGACAGAGAGTCCCTGGGGGGGACAGAGAGATCTGGGGGGGACAGAGAGATCTGGGGGGGACAGAGAGATCTGGGGGGACAGAGAGGTCTGGAGGGACAGAGAGACCTGGGGGGACAGAGAGACCTGGGGGGACAGAGAGATCTGGGGGGGACAGAGGGACCCTGGGGGGACAGAGAGACCCTGGGGGGACAGAGAGATCTGGGGGGACAGAGAGACCCTGGGGGGACAGAGGGACCTGGGGGGGACAGAGGGACCTGGGGGGACAGAGAGACCTGGGGGGGATAGAGAGATCTGGGGGGGACAGAGAGATCTGAGGGGGACAGAGAGACCCTGGGGGGACAGAGAGACCCTGGGGGGACAGAGGGACCTGGGGGGACAGAGAGACCCTGGGGGGACAGAGGGACCTGGGGGGGACAGAGGGACCTGGGGGGACAGAGAGACCCTGGGGGGACAGAGGGACCTGGGGGGACAGAGAGACCCTGGGGGGACAGAGGGACCTGGGGGGACAGAGAGATCTGGGGGGACAGAGGGACATGGGGGGACAGAGAGATCTGGGGGGACAGAGAGATCTGGGGGGGACAGAGAGATCTGGGGGGACAGAGAGATCTGGGGGGACAGAGAGATCTGGGGGGACAGAGAGGTCTGGAGGGACAGAGAGACCTGGGGGGACAGAGAGACCTGGGGGGACAGAGAGATCTGGGGGGACAGAGAGGTCTGGAGGGACAGAGAGACCTGGGGGGACAGAGAGACCTGGGGGGACAGAGAGATCTGGGGGGGACAGAGAGACCTGGGGGACAGAGAGATCTGGGGGGACAGAGAGGTCTGGAGGGACAGAGAGACCTGGGGGGACAGAGAGACCTGGGGGGACAGACCTGGGGGGGACAGAGAGATTTGCGGGGGGACAGAGGGACCCTGGGGGGACAGAGGGACCTGGGCGGACAGACAGACCTGGGGGGACAGAGAGACCTGGGGGGGACAGAGGGACCCTGGGGGGGGGCCGAGAGATCTGGGGGGACAGAGGGACCTGGGGGGGACAGAGAGACCCTGGGGGGACAGTCAGACCTGGGGGGACAGAGAGATCTGGGGGGGACAGACAGACCTGGGGGGGACAGAGAGACCGGGGGGGGGACAGAGAGATCTGGGGGGACAGACAGCTCTGGAAGCACAGACAGCTCTGGAAGGACAGACAGCTGTGGAAGGACAGACAGATTGGAAGGACAGACAGCTCTGGAAGGACAGACAGACTGGAGGGACAGACAGACTGGAAGGACAGACTGGAAGCACAGACAGCTGTGGAAGCACAGACAGACTGGAAGGACAGACAGCTGTGGAAGGACAGACAGACTGGAAGCACAGACAGACTGGAAGGACAGACAGACTGGAAGGACAGACAGATTGGAAGGACAGACAGCTCTGGAAGGACAGACAGACTGGAAGCACAGACAGCTGCAGGAGGAGCTCCCATCTCGCACTGCCTGCGGAACAATCGCTGCTCCCGCTCAGAGCTCGGGCTGGCAGCTCGTGCCAAACCATTCCCGGTGATTTCCTCTGCAGCAGCACCGGGAGCCCGAGGCTGCATCAGGCCCGGCTGCAGCCCCGGCAGGAGCAGCAGCCCCGGCAGCAGCAGTTTGAGGCTCCTCCACGGGCTCTTTTTGGGATTTCTGGGTACAAAAAGGGCCCTGCTACGGAGAACAGGTACCCAGCCAAATGCCTGCGAGTTACAGGAGGCACTCGCATTCACAGCACAGCTGTAAAACATTGTATAAATCAACCTGAATTATTTTATTGCCCGATTATCAAAAGCAAACAAAGAGCCATGCAAGTTATTAAACATCTATGAGCGCCCCATTAAAATAAAACCCAACCATATGCCTGCACTTGGCCACTTGCCACCACCCGGGATCCAGCCACGTGCCCGGTGGAACCAGGCTGGGACGGGAAGGGCAGGGGGACAAGGGGGGGACAGCTGAAGTGAGGGGTCAGCGGCCCCGTCCCACACCTGCGGGGAGGGCGCGGCAGGGCGGGGATGCTGCTCCAGACCCTGCAAATCACCTGCCCCTCCTCCTGTCCAGGCTGGGGAAACTGGCCCTAAACCAGCCCTGACAGCAGCTTGGCCAGCCTGGTCTCCGTCCATCCTGGTGCCATCCGTCCATCTTTCCATCCCTCCGTCCGTCCATCCGTCCCTCCATCCATCCATCCATCCATCATCCATCCATCCCTCCATCTATCCATCCATCCCTCCATCCATCCATCCATCCATCCCTCCATCCATCCCTCCGTCCGTCCATCCATCCATCCATCCATCCATCCATCCTTCCCTCCATCCATCCATCCCTCCATCCATCCATCATCCATCCATCCATCCATCCATCCATCCATCCATCCATCCTTCCCTCCATCCATCCATCCCTCCATCCATCCATCCCTCCATCCCTCATCCATCCATCCATCCATCCATCCATCCCTCCATCCATCCATCCATCCCTTATCTATCCATCCATCCATCCATCCATCCATCCATCCATCCATCCCAGCAGTAAAAAGGTGAATGTGGATGGTTTAAAGGGGGACACAGCTCCAGCCCCTCAGTTTTGGGGTCTTTTAGGGGTGGATGCAGCTCCAGCCCCTCATTTTGGGTATTTTGCAGCTCCAGCCCCTCATTTGGGGTATTTCGGAGCTCCAGCCCCTCAGTTTGGATATTTTGCAGCTCCAGCCCCTCATTTTGGGGTGTTTCCTTCAGAGAGGCCGCAGCTCCAGCCGCTGCCAGCTCCCCGGGCGGCTCTGCAATCTCTGTTTCCCCATTTCCCCGTTTCCCGTTTCCCTGCCCGCTCAGAGCCGCTGCCGGGGATCACAAAGAGCGGGATTAATGCAGAGGCAGCAGCAGCAGCGGCAGCAGCAGCAGCAGCAGCAGCAGCAGCAGCAGCGCTGTGAGCACCTAAAACGCCCCCGGGGAAGCTCCCGCTGCGCCCCCGGCTTTAATTAACAGCGCCGGAGCGAGACCACCCCGGCTAAGGGGAGGACAAACACAGCTCTGGTTCTGGGAGTCAGCTCCGGCCAGCCCAAAGGCCGAGGAGTATTTTGGAATAATTCCTGAGGAATATTTCAGAATAATTCCTGAGGAATGTTTCAGAATGATTTCCGAGGACTATTTAGGCCGAGGCACGCTAAAGCCAGTCCCGGCAGCACAGCCCGGGGCCGCGGGGCTGGCTGGGCTCCCCGGGGCTGCTCCTGCCTCGCTCCCTTCCCTTCCATTCCCTTCCCTTCCCTTCTTTCCCGGCTGCTCCTGCCTCCATTCCCTTCCCTTCCCTGGCTGCTCCTGCCTCCATTCCCATCCCTTCCCTCCCTTCCCTTCCCTTCTATTCCCTTCCATCCCTTCCATTCGCTTCCCTTCCATCCCTTCCCTTCCCTTTCCCAGCTGCTCCTGCCTCCATTCCCTTCCCTTCCATCCCTTCCCTTCCATCCCATCCCTTCCATCCCTTCCCTTTCCAGGGCTGCTCCTGCCTCCATCCCTTCCCATCCCTTCCATTCCCATCCCTTCCCTCCCTTCCCTTCCCTTTCCCGGCTGCTCCTGCCTCCATTCCCTTCCATCCCTTCCATCCCATCCCTTCCATCCCTTCCCTTCCATCCCATCCCTTCCCTCCCCTCCCTCTCCCTTTCCCTCCCTGCCTGCTCCCCCTCTCAGAACAAAGGGCAGGAGCCTTTGCCGCAGCCGCATACCAATGAGAGAGATCAATTTCGGTTTAAAGAGCCCGTTATTGGCGGGGGGGGTGGCGGGGGGAGCGGCTGGGAAGGCAGGTTTCAGTTTTAATTCTGAATTCCTCCGTTCCCCATCTCGGGAAGATTTACGCGGCTCGGCTCCCGCAGTTTATTTCCGAGCAGCGCCGCTGACTGCGAGCGTATGCGCGGACATCGATCAATTTAGCAAATGGATGTGCCAGGCTGAGCCCGGCACGCATCTGCCGCGCTCCCACCGGCCAGCGGGAGGGGCCGGGGGCTGCAAATGGCCTTAATTAGCTGCTTGCTGATGAGCTCCCCGTGTCCTTCAGCCCCTGCGCTCGGGCTGCGGGGGCAGCCGGCATGGATGGCGCTGGGTGGGAGCTCTTTGTTAGCCGAAAGCGGCTCTTTTCCACCCAGCCCCTGCCGGGTCTCAGCCCCGAGGGGCTCTGCTCCCATCCCTGCAGCTCCTTCCCCGGCTATCAGGTGTTGGGGTACTCCCCCTCTCTATTTTCTGCCCTTTTTTCCGAGCGCAAAGCCAAAGCAATAATGAACGGTTCAATCTGCTCTCTCAGGCCTCGGATCGGATCGGGTGGGGGAAAAGCAGCCAGAGCCACGCGAGTTCCCAAAGCAAGACCCCACACGCCAGTAAATTCCACCCCGGGGGCTGTGCCTTGCACGGGAGCGCTCCCCGGCCCCTCCCAGTGCTCCCAGTGCTCCCAGTGCTCCCAGTGCCGCCTCTTGCCTTTTTCTCATCATCCTCAGCCGCTTTCTTGAACTCGTGCTCGAAGGAGCTGGCCAGCTCGTTGAAGAGTCCCACCTCCTCACAGTTCTTCAGGAACCGCGTCGGGGTCGGGGTCTGATCTGCTTGGGGTGGGAACACCGAGAATTGGTCAGGGAGAGGCCAAAACCCCATTTCACATCCCAGTCCTGCACTGGGGAGCGCTGGGGACGAGGGTGTCACCCGGGGACAGCCAGGACACCTCGGAACCCCATTCCCTGCCGGGCTTGTTTCTCCGGGGTTTAGAGGAATAATCACCGGAGGGAGAGGATTTCTGCCAATTCCTGGCTGTGGGATTCCCGTCCCTCCCACCCCGGGCTCGGCCGTCCTCAGCTGGACAAGGAGAGGGAAAACCGGGAGTGGGATCTCCCTGAAAGGAGGGATGAGATGGGAGAGCAGCCCCAGGGCCGGGCAGCACCTCTCCCCTTCCCGTGCCAGCTCCAATCCCAAAGAGATTCCTGGGAATTCTCCTCTCCCCATGCCAGCTCCAATCCCAAAGAGATTCCCTGGGAATTCTCCCCTCCCTGTGCCAATTCCCAATCCCAGAGTGATTCCCTGGGAATTCTCCCCTCCCTGTGCCAATTCCCAATCCCAGAGTGATTCCCTGGGAATTCTCTTCTCCCTGTGCCAATTCCCAATCCCAGAGTGATTCCCTGGGAATTCTCCCCTCCCAGGGAGGGAGGAAGAAACAAATCCCAGAGACAAAACGGTCCCAAAAAAATCCCAGAGACAAAATGATCCCAAAAGAATCCCAGAGATAAAATGGTCCCAAAAAATCCCAGAGACAAAATGATCCCAAAAAATCCCAGAGACAAAATGATCCCAAAAAATCCCAGAGAAAAAATGGTCCCAAAAAAATCCCAGAGATAAAACGGTCCCAAAAAAAAAAACAGAGACAAAATGGTCTAAAAAATCCCAGAGACAAAATGGTGGCTCAGAAAAATCCCAGAAACAAAATGATTAAAAAAAAAAAAAAAAATTCCAGAGACAAAATGGTTCCAGGGACAAAATGATCCAAAAAAAAAAAAAAAAAAAATCCCAGAGACAAAATGGTCCCAAAAAATCCCAGGGACAAAATGGTGGCTCAGAGAAACCCGGAATAAATGGCATTTCAGGCAGTAAGGGCCCAGATCTCGGTGCTCAAAGCCAGCAGGTTTTACAGCCCCGTCTGTGTCAGGCACGCCAGGCCCACGCTGGTTTTGGGGGGTTTAGCTGGTCCTGGAATGGCCATGGAGAAATTGGGTTTGTTTGGGGTTTTTTTAGTGTTTTACGCCAGAGCAGTCCCCTGAATGTCAGGGTGACCTTGTTCCTCGGCTCCTGAAGTGTTCCATCCCCTCACGCTTTGCCGGGGGGAGAAATTTGGAAAATCCCCGCTGGGAATGAGCTCTGCCCCTGGGAGCAGCTGCAGCCACAGCCACGATTCCCCCAAACCCTCGGGAAGGCAGCAGAGCTCCCGTCCCACAGCCACGATTCCCCCAAACCCTCGGGAAGGCAGCAGAGCTCCCGTCCCACAGCCACGATTCCCCCAAACCCTCGGGAAGGCAGCGGAGCTCCCGTCCCACAGCCACGATTCCCCCAAACCCTCGGGAAGGCAGCGGAGCTCCCGTCCCACAGCCACGATTCCCCCAAACCCTCGGGAAGGCAGCGGAGCTCCCGTCCCACAGCCACGATTCCCCCAAACCCTCGGGAAGGCAGCGGAGCTCCCGTCCCACAGCCACGATTCCCCCAAACCCTCGGGAAGGCAGCGGAGCTCCCGTCCCACAGCCACGATTCCCCCAAACCCTCGGGAAGGCAGCGGAGCTCCCGTCCCGCCGCAGCCCCGGATTTGGGCTGGAGGAAACGGGACAGAGGTGCCAGAGTCCCACTGCAGCTCTGCTCTCCCCAAAAACCCCTCTCTGCTCTCAGATCTGTGGGGTTTGGGTCCCCCAGTTCTGCAGTGCCCCGGCGCTGTGGGAGCTCCTCGCTGGGGCTTTAATTTATTAACTGCAGCTTCCTAAAGGCTCGGGAGAACTGACACCTGGGCTGAGAGGGGAAGCTGCTCTGTCAGGTTGGGTTCATCGTCCTCAAAGCACACGCAGAGACGTGAAAGCCCTTCTGGCCATAAATCCTCCAGCCTTTAATAAAAAACGGCGAGAGCTTAAAAAAAAAAATTAAAAAAAAAAACCCACCCAAACCCCACAAAACCCGATACTACCATAAAAAAAAAAAAAAAGAAAAAACTTGGAAGCCTGTGGCTTTCCTCTCGCCCTGATTAAATGCAGATCACAGGAGGGTTTATGGGCTTTGCAGTGCATCTGGTGCCTGGCATCAATCTTGGCGGGCCTGGCCGGGCACATACCTGCGATGATGACGGAGTCGGTGCGAGCGGGGCCGAATTTCAATGTCATCTCGTGCTTGTGTTTATGGACCGCCAGGTGGTCCTCGTTTGTGAACCTCTGAAACGAAACCGTTTAGAAAATGGGGCATAAATGCGCCTGTGTTTTACCGTCCTGCCCCGGCGGCGGCGGGAGGAGGGATCGGTGGGGTGGGAGAGGGGGACGGGGCTGGGGGAGACAGAGGGGGAAAGGGATGTGGGAACAGGGACAGGGATGTGGGAGCAGGGACAGGGATGTGGGGACAGGGAATGGGGCTGTGGGAACAGGGATGGGGCTGTGGGAACACGGACAGGGATGTGGGAGCGGGGAATGGGATGTAGGAACAGGGATGGGGATGTGGGAACAGGGACAGGGATGTGGGAACAGGGATGTGGGAGCAGGAACAGGGATTTGGGAGCAGGAACAGGGATTTGGGAGCAGGGACAGAGCTCTGGGAACATGGACAGGCTGTGGGAGCAGGGACAGGGATGTGGGGACAGGGATTTGGGAACAGGGATGTGGGCACAGGGACAGAGCTCTGGGAACACGGACAGGCTGTGGGAGCACAGGTGGCAGAGGGAAAAGCCTCTGTAAGGAGTTCTGCAGGGTGGGGGCCAAGGATTTTCCATAATCTGGTTTTTAGGTGATGGAGCGAGGCAGCAGCTGCAGCTGATGGAAATGCACGGAAATTAACTCTGGATCCCAAAATTCCCACTCTACTGCTGGCTGGGGAAGAGGGGAAGAATTTGGTGCACTTTTCCTGCGTGGGGTGAGGCAGGGCCAGCCCCAGATTCAGCTCCTGAGTTTTTATGGAGCGAGGGAGGGAGAGCATCTCCCCCCCCCCAAAATCCCACCTGCAGGATGGACCCCATCCCTCAGGGAGGCTGGAATCCCGCTGGGGGGCTTTGGGCTGGCTGTGGGGCCGGGAAAGGCAGACAAAGGCAGGAGGGAGGGGGAGCGAGGCAGGGACGGGTTAAAGCACAGCCCCATAAAGCCCAGGATGGATTGTGTCTCTCCTAATAGACTGCGACAAACGGGCCGGGCTCTGGGCTCCGCAGCGCTCTGTGCAGGAAAACGCTGCAGCAGCAGCAGCAGCGCAGAAGCAGCAGAGCAGCAGCAGCAGTGCATCCCTGCCCTTTCCCTTCCTCACCTCCCTCTCCCGAGAGTCCCAGCCCAAACCCACCCAGAGCCCCCCACTCCCGTGGGGCTGCTGCACCCGGCTGGGGCCTCGCCGGGGCTTTACTGTGGCTCTGCTCTTTGAGCAAATAAATCAATAAATCTGCATTTCCCAGCCGAGCACGGAGGGGACAATCCCTCGGTGGTGGGGGACAATCCCTCGGTGGTGGGGGACAATCCCTCGGTGGTGGGGGACAATCCCTCAGTGGTGGGGGACAATCCCCCAGGGGTAGGGACAATCCCTCGGTGGTGGGGGACAATTCCCCGGTGTCAGGGGACAATTCCCACCCTCGGCTGGCAGGGGACAACCCCTCGGTGTCAGGGGACAATTCCTACCCTCAGTGGCAGGGGATAATCCCTCAATAGAAGGGGACAATCCCTCAATAGCAGGGGACAACCCCTCGGTGTCAGGGGACCCCAAAACCCGGGTTGTCCCCCCAGCCCCTCTTTCCCCGGGCTCAAGGACACGGGGGTCACCCCGAGTGTCCCCCAAACCCGCCTGGCACTCGCTTGCGCTTTGGGCTCGGCTGCAGAGAAACCAGAGCCGCGGGAGAAGAGCCGAGAGGGATTTTTGGGGGTTTTTTCCTGCCTGTGGAACTCCAGGAACAGACTGAACCCCAGCTCCGCTCCGAAACCGAACCTTAAATAAACCTTAAATAAACCCGAAACGAACCCTCCCGCCAGCTCCCACAATCTGCCTGATCTGGGCATTCTTCTCCTCCCGCAGCTCCGCTCCAGCCTCCCGTAAACGCTTTTTGTTTTGTCCGAGGAGCCCCGAAACGTTCTGAACAAAGGAGCGGCGGCGAGAGAGCGAGGGGGAACTCGGGAATTATTCGGGAATTATTCGGGAATTATTCGGGAATTGTTCGGGAATTCGGTCCCGCAGCACCCCGGCCGAGGGGCCCTGCAGCGGAAGGGACACCCCCACTTTTCCACGGTTTTGGGCCCCAAAATTCCTGGGTTTTATGGAATTCAGCCCCAAAATTCCTGGGTTTTATGGAATTCAGCCCCAAAATTCCTGGGTTTTACGGAATTCGGCCGCCCGCGGCGGGACCCTGCTGGGATGGGGTGAAGCGAGAGGAACAAACCCGGTTTTTGTGCAGGCTTGGGATGAATATTTAGCAGGCGGGCGGGTCGGAAATCTGAGCACCTGAGACGGGAGTGGGGGAAATGAAAAAGAAGAAAATTCCCAATTCTCCCGCTCCGCTTTGTGCTAAATAAATGTGATTTTTGGGTCAGGGAGGGAAGAGCGGGAGGTGCACAGCGGGGTCGTGTCTCTCCCACCAGCCCCAGCCCGGCCTCGCCAACGCCAGGTTTATTTTAATCTTTCATTTTCCTTCATTGCCGGATTTTTTTTTTCCCTAATTTTTTTTTCTTTTTTTCCCCGGCACTTTGGGTGCGTCGGGCGCGCGTTACAGCTCTATTTAACATCTTTATGTGGGCTCACAGCTCGGGAGCTCTCTCCTTCCCCGCGCAGAAATGCTCACAGACACAATATATCTTTCTGCACACATTTCCAAACGCCGAAACCCAGAGGCTGAGTCTGGCACTCGGGCTCTAAATCATGTCATTTTACACAGAGAGGGGAAGCAGAGGGGGAGAGGAGGGGGGCAGAGTAGGGAAAAAAATGGAATGAGTTAAAGCCACAGCGCTGGCTTTAATATTTAATCTCCTTCCATCAGCAGCTGACATACAGCAGGGTTATTTCAGCTGCTATTTTGCGGGTGTCGGAATTAAAAAGAAGATGTTGGCTGTAAAGTCTTTGGGGCGAGGGACAGGAGCAGGGCTGCCAGCGGCCCTCGGGGCTTTCCCGGGCTGGCGAAATTCGAAATTCGGTGTTTTCCCAGGCTGGGGCTGCAGGAGGCAACCCCAAATTCGAAATTCGGTGTTTTCCCAGGCTGGGGCTGCAGGAGGCAACCCCAAATTCGAAATTCGGTGTTTTCCCAGGCTGGGGCTGTGCCTTCTGCGGCCCCAAATTCGAAATTCGGTGTTTTCCCAGGCTGGGGCTGCCTCCTGCAGCCCCAAATTCGAAATTTGGTGTTTTCCCAGGCTGGGGCTGCCTCCTGCAGCCCCAAATTCGAAATTTGGTGTTTTCCCAGGTTGGGGCTGCCTCCTGCACCCCAAATTCTAAATTCAGTGTTTTCCCCATGCAGCGCCGGGAGCCGGAGCTGGGCTGGGCTGGGCAGACCCGGGCAGGGCTGGACAAACCTGGACAGACCCGGACAGACCTGGGCAAACCCAGACAGACCCAGGCAGACCCGGGCAGACCCGGACAGACCCGGGCGAGCCCGCGGCTGCCGCAGCGCTCTGGAGTTGCCGGGGCCGCGGGCTTCTCTCCCGACAGGCCGTGACAGCTCCGGGATGAATGCGCTCGTTTCCAGCCCTCGGTAACGGCACACGATGCTGCAGCTGCCGCCAGGCTGCGGCCGAGCCCCGGGCGGGCGGGCCGGGATTTCTCCGCCCGTTTAACGAGCACGACACGAGGAACAAGGGCTCGCTTGGCTGCTCGGGGGTTTTCCTGCGTTTTGGAGAGCCGCTGTTTGGCGCGGGGGGGTGAGGCGAGCGCCGGAGCCGCCGCAGCCCCCGGGATGGGGGATACCGGGGCAGGAGCTCCGCGGCAGCTCCGGATGGGTTTAACCCCGCCGGTGCCGCTGGGAGCCCGGCACCGAGCCGGGATTCCCGGGGGAACCGCGGGCTGCGGCTGCGGCAGCGCCGAGCTCAGCCGGGATCGCGGAATTAACGGAATTAATTAACGAGCTGCCAGCACCGCGGGGAGGCTGAGCCCCGCTCCGGCCGTGACTCGGCACCGGAGCCACCGCGGGGACGGGGCTGGAGCCACCGCGGGGACAGGGCTGGAGCCACCGCGGGGACGGGGCTGGAGCCACCGCGGGGACAGGGCTGGAGCCACCGAGCCCGCGGGGACACGTCAGGGGGACCCGGTGCCTGTCCCGGGTAAAAGCTGTGTCCCCACATCAGGGGGACCCGGTGGCTGTCCCGGGTCAGCGCTGTGTCCCCCCGTCAGGGGGACCCGGTGCCTGTCCCGGGTAAAAGCTGTGTCCCTGCGGGCAGGGGGACCCGGTGGCTGTCCCGGGTGAGCGCTGTGGCCCCACGTCAGGGGTCCCGGTGCTGTCCCGGGTGAGCGCTGTGGCCCCGCGGGCAGGGGGACCCGGTGCTGTCCCGGGTTAAAGCAGCGCTGTGGCCCCGCGGGCAGGGGGACCCGGTGCTGTCCCGGGTTAAAGCAGCGCTGTGTCCCCGCGGGCAGAGGGACCCGGTGGCTGTCCCGGGTCAGCGCTGTGTCCCCACGTCAGGGGGACCCGGTGGCTGTCCCGGGTCAGCGCTGTGTCCCCACGTCAGAGGGACCCGGTGGCTGTCCCGGGTCAGCGCTGTGGCCCCGGTGCTGGCTCGGGCCCGGCTCCATCTCCCCATCTCCCATCTCAGCTGCCCCGGGTAATTCCCCCCGCGCCGCCCGGATGAATTCGCTAATGCGGCTGCAGTGCCGGTCCGCGGTGATTCACGGTGATTCACGGCTCCGGGGCGGCACGGAGGAGCTGCGGGGGCAGCCGCCGCTCGGCAGGAGCAGCGCCGCTCGGCGCCGTCTGTCCGTGCGGCTGTCCCGGGCCTGTCCCGGGTCAGCACCCACGGGACACCGGAGAGCTCGGGGGGAGGGACGGCAGCGGCTCCGATCCCGGTGCTGCCGGAGGAGGAGGAGGAGAAGGGAGGAAGGTTTGCAAGGAGCAGCTCAGGAAGGAAACACCAGCCCGGGAATGGCGCTGGGGGAGCTCCGTGCTCCACAATCCAGGGAAAAGCTGGAGGGAGGAAAAGCCGGGAGAGGCGACCCCCGCTTCCCTGCCGGAGCCGCTCCGCACCGGGAGCGCACCCCGAGCCCCCCAGCCAAAACTGCAGCG